GAACTGTGAATAATGTAGGAATCTAGTCTCCCAGGGCGTACGAAGCACTCAAACTGGAAGACAGTTGTCACAAATTATTTCGAATATGAAGTTGAGAATTCGCAAGTACTTTTCATCGTAAAGGTGAACATATTAGATAACGGTTGACATCATACCGTAAAAATAACAAATTTGCGAGTGGTGAATTATGGTCTATAAAAAGCTGAGCTTAATAACAGTTAGTTACCTTTTTACTCCCTGATCATGACCCTTCGGCTTCCTTTTGTGGCCGAAACAGCAAACATACACCACACACTGATAGCAGATTTCCGGCTTTTCAATGTTAAGCTTGCTTTAACGCACTACGTAATGCGTACAACCCCTCCATTACTGCTATGTGGCATATTTTTTCATAACAAACCATCTGCAATAGATTGGTAGCATCTGTGGTTGTCGGAAGCCTGGGTACTTTCGAAAACAATACTGACATCCCCTACTGCTAGGCACTAAGTATTAGTTTGACTCGTTGGTGGGATATTGTTGTCCGCAATACTGAAGAAAATTAAAAACCGGAAATTGTTCCCTTTCATTTTGCCGATAACATCATAAAGGACAGTTAGGAATGAACACGCGGACAGTTAGTCACAGGAGGCAGCAACAGTTATTTCAGCTAAGAAAAAACGAACTTCGGTTTTGGATATCTAGAAAACAAGTCAAAACAAAACCGATTTTCATTTTAAAACATAAGACTAACCAGCTTGACTGAAGAAATACATTGACTAGAGTAGAAGCAGCAAAAACCCAAAAAACAATGCTGATTCGAAGTAAATTTCACACCAACATGTAGAACATTACACTAACTGCGGCATCTTAGCACATTGAAACATTAATTACATAGCTACACAAAAGAAATAGCTAAAAGAAGCACAGAGCGAAGATAGCCGACCGCCATTACGTACAAAGATGGCTGGTATAATAATTCCCGCCACATTCTGATTGGTTGCTAAGCTGAAGGGCACATTTACGAAATTGAGTTGCGTTTAATTGCAGCCCAAGGGAGCTCTGATGTTGCTCAGCAGATCCTCAGCATTCATATTGGATGTGCCAAATATCCAAATCCGATCTGACTTATTTTGTTTGTTGTTATCAGTTACTGTAAGATCTGTGCATGCCTCGAGAAGACAACCTTTGAAGTCGTCACACTGAACGCCACGGGTGAGAGCAAAACTGCATCCAGGCCGCTCACATGAGCTCTTCATGACTGTTACGAGAGAACCAAAGACATTTGACTGATCAAAACCTTTATATTAAATATTATTAACTTCACAGTTTTTTGGATGTATTTGTTTTCCTCAACTTCTGTTTATATCATTATTTTCGGACATTTCGGCTTCTTTTGTCTTTGGTTCGATATTTGGGAGTTTTTGCTCCGGAAACCTTCGAAACTGGAGGACGACATTTGGGTCGACCATTTGTAAATTGCGAATAAATTTGCGTACCTGAATTGGAGTTTGGTTCTATTGTTAACTTGGGTTTGTAAATTGCAAATAGATCGATATACCGTACTTCAATGGCGGGAACGAGCAAGAACTTAGACGTAATAATGACTATGGTGAGATGTGAGCTGTTAGATAGATCCTAGCAAACGTTTACAACCGTAAAACAAAAAACAGAACGCTCGAAACGGGTAAAACGGATCAAACGGTGATATAGGAGATTAGGATATACCAAAACTAACCTCGACATGAATAACTATAATGACCGAGTAGTAGGCTGGATCGAAACCACAGTTAACAATTAACTCGGTTCAAAATCATAAATAAAAGTGGTCTGCCGAACATTAAGCTCAAGACAGTCTCTCTGGAACGAAAATGATATTTTTGTCGCCTAAAAACAACTGAAGTTTCAGTAATACTAATCATGTTAGGACGAAACCTACAGTTCGTAAGGCGCGCACGTATTGAAGAAGCCTTTTTTAATAGGCTTTCGGGTCCACTAGCAGCGGGGTGTCGTTGGCTTTAGGTGGCTGCCTATTTATACTGACCAAGAAAAAGAGAAATATCAGTAAATTACAATAAAGCACTATCCTGAGTCCTTAAGAATAAATTATATGACATCCAATATATACAATATCTCTGTCACGAGCTTTTATTAATCGACTGATTTATTTGTACTTGCTTCTCGTTGTTTCGGTACGGTTACGAGTGCGTAGTAATGTTCAATAAGTGGTGGCATTGGACCCTAGCCACGCAACCTTTGAAGCAGAACATATAATTACTGAAAAGACTTGTATTTCACAATTGACACGAAGAAATGGTAGACCAAGAAAAGCGGGAACGTCATTTCAGCTTGATCGGATGGCATGGCTCAGCCCCGCAAGCGTGGTCATTCTTGTGTAACCTATCTCTTTCATTCATATTAAATATGTTATTTACAGTCTAAATGTGTACTCTACCATATTTTGGTAATTGTTACGATACGATGAGTCAGTCTAGATAATGATGTGACTTCCACGTAAGATACTATAGATTAGACAGTTAAATCATGTAAAATCTACAATTTTATCATTAGGTCTATTACTAGAGCAGTACTATTAACAAAGTACATCGTAGTTCTACAGTCTAACCGCTTGACTGCACTAATTCTTGCCAGTTCGGTAGCTATACAGGGATTTGTATGTCATGTGATTTGAGTGGGTACGTTTTTCCCTGGGTAGTAGGCACTCTGGTTACGAGCAGCTATCGCATCACCAGGCATGAGGTTTGTTGGTCGCAATGTGAAAATAGTAAAGTAATAATTGGAATTATTTGGTAATGTTTAAGGCAACGGAATTGAAAGAATTAAGGGGGAGACGGAGATGATAATAAACGAGATAGGAACCAGTTGCTGATATACACTAATGAAAACCGTGGTAATTTATGGGACATGCAGCTGATCATAACCTGTTTCTTCAACCTATTCTGACTAACATAGTTCTGCAATAATGTTACTTGTGTCGTCATAATACCTGGATACGACGGTGTAATTTAACTTCAGTGTTAGCCGTGAGGTCTGACGTCGATGAAAACTGGATAGCTCGTTAATCTCATCGGCACTAGTAAATCCTCAATCATTGACATGGATCACCTAGGTTGGTAATCTACAACTTCATTATAGGACGACATGAGGATTGAGATAATTAGAGAGAATCCCATAAAGTTCAAGCCATGGATTCGAAACCTCAATAAAAACGGTTCCTTACTATGACATTTTAAGGTCCTGTACGATTGAAATATCTTTTATATAACAGCGTGCTCATTGGATGTGACCAAACGCAAGTGATTAATAAGTGAGATATCATGGCCACCTGATCAGAGAGTACAAAAATAGTGCCTTCGGATTGTGTAGCTCCAAAGTCACATATATTATGCGGTTGTATTATGCCTGGCAACCTTTTCTGATAAGGATTTTTCAAAAGACAACGTAGATGAGCTTGTAGTGTGGTGTCGAGTCCCAGTTGACTATGAACACCACTACAAAGGAATGCGTGCCAGGATATCCATAAAATCCCTCGGAAGGCAGTTAATGGACCAAGTCGAGATGTATTTGCTGGCGATCTCATGGTATCGAAGGAAAAACGAGATCGTGCCAGGATACAAGCTTGGTTACAGAGCGTAACGGAATTCGCACGAGTCACAATCGAAGTGAGTATAATGGATGTTTTTAGCACAGTTAGACAAAGAGCACATTAAACAGTCACTGGTACAATTGGTTATAATAATAACTGTTTTCAATAAACCGATCGTGTTCTCGCGATAAAAGTGAGTCACTACAAGCTCATGTTGAAAGTAATCAGCCATTCGTGATAACCATATCGACGAGGATAAATTATGGTACGTATGTGAGAAGACTCCCTAGTCTACTGATGTATTTATTCTCCTGTGTTAAAAGATGGAAGTTTTCGAAACATCTCAAGTTCGACGCGTTCAAAATCTTTAGAAGCTACTGTACACTTAGGAATTCAACACGCTTTATAATAACACCAGATAATATTAAGTACGAAAAAAGTATCTCTTAAAAAAGTGGCAAGATAAAATCCCAGACTCGTTTAATCAAGTTTGCGAATGAGAAAAGACTCACATATAGCTTGTTAAGAAAATAGTTTGCTCCGAAGCAAACTTGCCCATACCGTTACACCCATTAATAAAGAGGGTAATAAGGTTGAAGCTTTCAATTAGAACTCGACTTACTTACTCTCCAAGACTGGGAAAGTTGTGGTAAGAATCATAGGGTAAGTCAGGTGTTATTAAGATGAAATCCTTTTCCTTTTAAACCTTCAACACAGATTACTTCAAGATAGATTACATTAAAAGGACCAGTCGAGAAACGTAAGTTATTGAACTTTATCAATGGGGCATAATTGTCGTCAGTGTATAAGATACAAATATTTCCAAGGCATTTGACAACACCGATCACATGACTGTTTGACTGAAAACGAAGTCATTTGGTATTATTAGGTGCTTGATTACGATGCCGAAGGACTAGCTACTGGACGACTACAGGCTTCTGGAATTCAATCTGTTCTGTCGTATTGATTCACAACATCAAACTGAGGACTACTTTTTCTGTAATCGTTTGTCAGTAGTTTTCGAAGTCATTTGCAGAATAACTTGAGACTCAAGGTGAAATCGAAGGTAACATAGATGTTCTGAGTTTTTAAGGAAGCTTGATTGAAATAAATGGATGCAAAGAGAAATAGAAGTACCTTTACTATGTAAAAATGTTGGCCAGCTCACCGAGAACCGAACTCACACGCCTTAATGTTTAAAAAGATATGAAGTTCTATAACACTCACAATCCTCTGTCATAATAGTTTACTACAACCTTTCAGTTTCAGTTTCAAAAACTGAAACATCATTAAAAAGAACACTGAAAAATAGGCATAAAATTAAAGGGAAATACCACGTGATCATTAGTTACGCAATGGAATTCACACAAGGAGGTGAATGTGAAAAGCGATCTTGTTATTTTTTCCGATGGAGATTTGATATTTACTCTAGTCCTAATAGTGATTAAGCAAACTACTCACAGAATTTTCCCCGAAGCACTTTATAACTAATATTTTACTCCTTGTGAGCTCTTGAAAGATTGACGAAACAATCCTCAAGGAAAGATTCGAAGAAAATAATAATTATTCAATTTTACCCTAAAAAGTCAATGTTAGCTAAATTAGTAATATTGGATTCTAGATGATCTTAGAGTCCTGTTCAAACGTATACGTAACGGTGAGTTTCTCAACTCCGTCTAATTTGTTTTGTTGTATTTATCGACATGCCTTTCATATTTTAGATTGTCGTATTCGTAGACAAAATTCATACTCAGCTCAGGCTTTGACGTATGACAGTTATAGTGTTTTTCAAAAATCAAATCTAATGTGTAGCAGTAGAATTGTAGTCCCTGGGGACCTTATATCCGCTTTAGACGTCAATAAGAAAAGTGGGTCGTCGACGTACTGTTGCTCGGGGAATATACTGTCAAGTGCATTTGGATATGTCAAGGAGGAATCACATACGGACGGATCAGTATGTTCATCCATTAATTCGTAGCTTATGTTAGAAAACATTTTCAGTTGTGCCGTTGAAAACTTCTGGCATAGTTCCTTACACCGGGTCAGTTGTGTTGGCCAAAGTAAGTTAGTTAAGCGTTCCTTTAACGGCCTCTTTGTTTGTAATGCATACTAACCATTCAATCAGCTAAGTGGTGGTACAGGTTACATATCTATTTCTCTGTCTGTTTATTAGTTCTGTATGTTTATTTCAAGGTTAAAATACTGTTTCCAAAACTTCTACATCTAGTTAGGTGTGTAAGTTTGCATATGGTCCCTGTTTTCTTAAGGTAAAAACTAAAATATCTTCAATTAGAATCTATCCTTTATCGTTTTATATCCCCAAACATTAAGACTCTAATGATGCATATCGTAGTCTAAAGTGTGACAGGTAGATATTCGTATCAACTTTCTAATTATTTTTAAATAAGCTTCGAATTAGACACTCGTTAATTGACTACTTTAAAGAGTTCAGGTTGAAAAAAGAAATAATGGCATTACAGTATCATGTAATGGATCACTGAAAAAATAGGAAATAGGGATCTGTATAATTATTTTCATAGATGATATACTGTCAGCTCTCTCCACAGTATGATATTTACTAACACCTACCCACATATACAAAACTTCACTATTCCCAGCAATTCACAAGTTAGTGCAATTACGGGCTCTTGCCAGTTTCATTCTTTGCCCCGAAGTAATGGATTGGTCGAACCGCTCAACTTTCCACTACAGATTTGAGTATCACTGCGCTTGAATCTATACAACTGAGTATTACCACCAAATCACAGAGTCTCAAAACCAATGGACTAAATCTGGTCCTTGTTACTAAGTTACATCAATTCACTATCACATTCAATGAGCCATAAATACATTACAAACGTTTTCATCGAACATTATGGTTTCGTATGCTAGTGCTACATTCTTTATCCTTCTCCCCTCTCATCATATGCTTAGTTAGATTGTATATCAGTTTACGTAATGGTTATCACCATACCTTAGTTTTCTGCATATTCATAGTATCAATAATTAGTTTATGTTCCTTGAATGATTTAAAACCATGATCAAAAGAAAGATGAAATGGATAATTATTTGTTTTACTCTTTTTGAAAACATTGAAAGCCCTCAACCTCTTTAATTAAGTTTGACTTTTCACCATAGGTTTCTAGTATTACACGAAGATTTGTTCGCTGCGATATCGTCGCGATTGGAGAAGTTTGCCTTGCCGGACCATTCAAAGGTCTCATAAGACGTGAAGATATTCGTGCTACGCAACGCGATCAAGCAGAACCAGGCTGTTGTTTTAGACCAGGAGATATTGTTCGAGCTCGTGTAATTAATCTCTTGGGTCCTGGAGCATATACCAACACTGGTTCCTTTATGTCTAGCACTTCACCACAGACGTTATCCACTTTGTTAACTACTCAGGCTATATCCTGTTCAGTGGCGGCCACCAATGATGCAAACATAAGCGGCTCCAATTCTGTTTGTCTTCTATCTACTGCTGAGCCTGATTTAGGCGTGGTCCTTGGTCTTGGAAGGTCTCCTGATAACAGCTTTCTCGAACTTCTTGGCAGTACAAGTGGCTCTCCCCTTGTTCCTGTTGGATGGACTGAGATGCTATGTCCTCACACACTTACTCGATACCCTCGAAAAGTTGCTCGTGTGCCAGATGAACTTATTACTCAGTTGATTTGTGCTCAAATTGAATAAATTATTTCATATAAAATTTGTTCTGCTTATATGAATAATTTTGTGTGCCAATTTCTTAAGTTATTTGTTCGTAATACAGCTCTTAGATGTTTTGGAAAATCTGTCTTGTTGTCTTATCCATTATCTTACTCCTAATCAGAAGCACACTATAAATATTTACGCGCTATCCATTTATGTCCTGCTTTTGTCTGAGGTGGATATTCTTTGTATTACTGAACCTTGGAACTTTCAAACAATCAAATCCATTGTTCTATTAATTGCTCGCAAACCAGGTTAACTTGGTGGAATATTTACAAAAGTATTACTTGTTAGTTGTCTATTGTAGCAATAATTACCAATCTTCAATAAATAAATAATACAGACGCTATAGTGTAGATCATGATTCGAAGTAATATCAGTCTAAATTACTATACCTTTCAACTATACATTTAAAATGGACTCAAGAACATGAGAACAAACAAGAGAAGCTGTATCCTTTCACCCTAGCTACTACAGTTCTAAGTTTGGAGTGCGTTTAATCATTTTTGGGGAATGTCACAGGTTTGTTGGTTATTCAAGTGATTTCAAGACTTCTGAACTTATTGTCTTCTTTTACCAATAAATATTGATGACATAAGTTTCAGCATACAAGTAATTTAAACAGTAATAATTGACTCTGGGCAAGTAGTCAGTTAAGTAGTATTTTTGCTTTACGTGACCACTTTCTAAATAATAAACTATGATTGACTATTTTCGTTTCATCCTACTTATATTTAAGGTTTGAAATAAGCGATAACGTTTTCATACGTTTCCATAGATTCTCAATCTGTCTCTAAGCCTGTAGTGTCTCAAGTTATTACACTGATAGTGTGAAATTATGATATCTGGTCCATTTTGTTTGTTGGTTCATCTTTCTATACTGTCTCCTCAATCCCGATGAAATATCACTGGGCATTTTTGTGGAGATTTTGCCAGTAATTCTTAAAGTTACCAAAAAATTTGACACTTCTAGTTGAATGTTCCATGTACTTGTTGTGCTAATGAGGTGTGGCAACCTGGACCGATGCATATGTGTGCTTGGTGCTACGTTGTACCTGACTGACGTAGTAGTTCGTTTGAATATTTTCGTCTCATAAACTGACATCGCTGGCAAACATGACACTTTGTGGTCTGTTGGTAATGTGCGTACAAGTAATACTTCTCAACGTAATAAAGTAAGTGGGATGGAAAGTGAATTAAAGTCGAGTCATCGCAAAGCTAGAAGGGTTGTGTGATGACTGCTTGTTCCCAGTCTTAGTATTAGCTCCCAATTTTTTTCGCACACCAGGCATTTCATTTTTATTCCAAAAATATGATTTATCCCTTTACATCAACTTATTTCTATCTTCGTACACCTTTTCTTTAATTTTCTGAACGTTTATTAGCTCATGTCACTTCTCATTTACCAAGTTCTCATCTACATTGTACAATATACGTGCTATTTCTGTAAAATGTTTCTTAAATTGATCCAACGGTTTAAGAATGGATCGTGCTTGTTTGTAGTCTCTAACCTGAGTTTGTATTGATTTTAAATAGTACGTGGGTCAGTAGGTTGGTTTAATGACCTGTTGAAATAAAACTCCGATACTTATAAAGTAAATGACTAAGTTTTATCCCTCTAATGTATATGTTGTTGTTTTAATAATTTTGAAAGTAACTAGATGTACAGCAAATTTCCACCAATAACATGTAAATTTACCGAAATATAACAATTTAGATATATTGTGTGGAATGATTTCGACTTTTTGGTCATCGCATTAACTTGAGTTTATGGCTGTACACTTAAGTCAACCACAAAAAGTTTTCACTTGAAAGTCAACTAACTTATTATCAAAATGGTGACATATGTAAACAAACTAACATTTCAGACCTTGTTTACAGGCCGGAGTTCGAACCACGGAACTAGCCGCAATCCTTTGTGCTACCTTTGAAAATGTCCAGGGGACTGTGATCGCCTATCAGTATCCACACAACTATGTATCCCCGGTATGTTTTCCTTTAGTTATATATGTTACCCAGTATTTTAAAATTTATTTCCAGTTCCTAAAAGTTTGTAGATTTTGATCCAAGCTTAAATGGCTTGTCTACACTAATCAGTTTAGTGGAGAAATCAACTTTGCTGGCTATGTTTCACTAAGTAGCTTGTTTTAACATCACTTTTTAACTTCGAAACAAAATGTCAATCTTTGCATCATACTTCGGAAGAGTTATATCCAATATGTTTTTTTATTTGTAATTCAAGAAGCTGCGTATAATAAGATACTAACAAATGGCGCACATATCGTGAAAATACCGTATTATAGCGGAAAGAAATCGTCAAATAAATAACTATATTTTGAAGAATATAGTTAAAATAAACAACTATTACTTCTTGATAGACATATATCTTGCTTTTTGTGGAGAATTTAGTAAAAGATTACATCAATATCACTACTGGTTCCTAATTTGAGATATCTGGTTACGTCTTATACCACTGAGTTGTATAACCTTTGGTACACCACCCGTAGAAGTTTAGTTAGGCTATTCGTGGTTCGACGGCTCTATGTTATAGTTTGTTCACATTTTTTCTTCCGTCTAGTTTCATTGTCAGTGGAGATCACTAGGTAAAAAGGTCACTTGATCGTCGTCTGTAGAACGTAGCTACGCCGCTATAGCCAGTAGATAAAGACTAATTCTTTTTGAATTGCAATATCCACTATACGTGAATATAAGCTGCTTGACATCAACATTAGTTACACTATATTGAAACTAAATATGGACAATTCTATAGAGAGGTCTGAAAGATTATTAAAGATTCCTAACCCCAGCATCCAAGACAAATCGAAAGTGTGGAGTTGAATAGTTATATTGTGCTCCGTTTTGTGTAGTGTTCTGTGTAATGCGAAAATAAATAAGATAGTAGACGGCAAACGTTTTGGTAGCCTAAGCAACAGAATTGATCTCTTTATGATCTTTTCCATATATTGACAACATGGAGTAACCATGAAAAGTTGAGTAATACGGAGCGATATATTTCGTATTTAGACAACTTCAATTATTGGACTTCCTGAGCAAAAATCAATAGCACTTTGGTGTTATCTCTAAATCAATGTATCTCTATTTTACAAAAATGATGCTTAAGATTCACTGCAATTTCAATAAATAGCAAACTGATTTACGACTTAGCATAGTGGTATCTTGTTGCATTATCATCTAATTATCGCTTTGCAAATGAAACTCACACCTGACTGTGTCAAAGCCATATGTGAATAAAAGCCTTTCACAATTAAAATCACTTTTTGTTTGACCTTTAGGTTGTTTCAGTGTTTTATTCACCTATGTGCCTATCTCATTCGTTAGACGTACCTCTTATTACCATGTTCGATGGTTAGCTTCTTGCAGTCAATAATCTTATTATTCTCTACAGTGGTTAGCTTATAACAGACTTCCATTTTCTCATTTGTTTTTTACAGACCCAGTTTAAGGAGATTGGCAACGCTGTTATCCCACGAGCTGAATTAGCTTTCCGGTTAGTAACAATAGAAGCTTTTAGACACTATGTGATTGGCTGCTTGCAACGCATCGAAGGTGTCCAGTATAAGAGAAATACATTGCAGTTCAATATATGTCTTGTCATTAAACCAAAAGCAACTGCTAATCAGGATGATATATCACACTGGCAGTTCTGGGACGATTATTCAGCCGGCGGTTTGAGACCTAACGTCCAAGCAGCTTACGAGGCATTAACACTAAAGATTAATAGATATTTTTATGCTTTAGAAGAACAATGTGGATTTCTGTCTCGCTCATTAGGACATCATGAAGGTGTAGAAAAGTGTGTAAAATTACTCCGCCTTAAATCAATTTACAAACAATTACATGAATCCGGAATGTGTATTCTTTCGTTTCCCAATAGTGGCTCTTTGTACTTACGGGTATGTTTTATCGATCCTATCAATGTCTTAAAATTTATTTCTCAAATGTTATGTATATAACTAACAATCTTCTCGATGCCAGAATTTGTCTCGTTGAAACAGCTGAAGCAAAAAATAAAACAGGCAACTATGGTAGTAATGCGCCAAGGTCATTCCTGTCACTTGACAGCCATGTGAAGCTAAGCTAATCTGGTGTTTGAAAATAGCGTCAACTAGTTCACTAACCTTATATAGACCGTGGTGTAAACTTTGGTATTATTTAGTCAAAATTAGATAACTTCCAATAAATCTAGTACACTGTTTGCGTACTGACATGATATGTAATCAGTGAAGTGGAACTCATACACATACTGAAAGTCGGATGATGACTTTTCAGTTGATGTTCATTGTTTATGAATGTTGTTTGACTTTTTCTTAATCATTATCTTTTGAGGAAGTAAGCATGATATTTAAACTAATTTAACACGATTTTGAGTTTAATTATTTATAAAAATTGATTTCTTCGAAATATTTTCCACTTCATTAAGTTAAATATTTTAGATTTCTTCATATAGTTCCTTTTTTTCTACTAGTTTAGTCCTAGACAGGATCATGGGTCGTATAGCAATTTGTCATTCGATATGTTTGAACTGGTATCTGAGGAGATTTTAAAAGATAATAATGTTGATGATAATGATTGGGGATTAGAATTTGGTCAAAAAATCCGACAGTTCAATCTTCATCATAATAATCAAGTTGTTTTTCCTAATTTCAATCCTCAAAGTGAATCAGAGATTACTGATAATTGTGTGTTTGTTTTAATCGCTTCTCCAACTTATCATCGTCAATCTAAAATGGGTTACAATTTGAATGGTGGTTGGAGACCATTGGATGCTGTGGCTCAACGTGTTTTACCTTATATCAACGGTAGACGACGTTTAATTGAATTGGCTCAGTTAGCTCAATTAGATGTGGCTATAGCTCGTCTATGTTTAATTGAGCTTGCTCGAATAGGATTAGTTCGTGCGTTACCATATCCTACATTTATAATGCAACTTCTTCAAGCTGATAAGTTTCCCAACTCAACACTTATTCCTGGATGGCTAGGTTTACCACGACTGGCCACTCTACTTACAGACTCCTCTCTTAGCAAGATGTGCTTGGAAACTGTGGTAAGCATTTCACTTGCTTTTTTTCTTAGACTTTTGGTTGCACTACTAGCTAAAGTCCATCGTTGGATACCAGTACTAAATGTAGAGTTATTCATCTCAATATACAGACTACTTAATTAGCCATCACATGAACAACGATGACCAATTTAAAAACAAAAATGTAAGGCTTTATTTCAGTAGTTCAATTTCGATAGACTGAAAATCAGATGATTTTCAGTGGTTTATCATATTTACAATGTTTGTTTGCTTAAAACTTGCTACTGTTAGGAATAGAACTATGTGTCTAAAAAAGTATTATGATCGTGACTGCTCGTTTAATTTTGATTAATTCAAACAAGGTTGTCATTCTGCGCTGGGCCACTATTTTTATAGAGTTGTGTTGTTGCTTTCCAAATTATCGTACTTGCAATTCACGCCTAGGTGTTCATATGTTATCTTCCAAAGGCTTCGTGTTCAGTCTGTTAGCAGATTGCTTCGTGTCATACGGCTATCCGAAGCCGTGTTATTTCCATTAAGGTTTCTGGTCAAACGACTGAGTTACGTTCTCGAAATCAAAAAGAATTATTTGTCTAGAATATGGTACCCCTACTGCTACGAAAATATATAAACCTCAATTAGTGCTTATTGCACCAGTGTATAATCAAGGGAAAAATGTTTCTTGTAATAGGTATACAGAAATTCCTTGCAAAAAATATAATAGACTGCATAATAGCTATGTTCAAAATCACAATGCCAGAAAGCGGTCAAAATGGGGCTTAGTATTCGCACCACACTGTAGGTCCTAAGTTTGAGTCCCGCATGCGAAGCCGTGGTTGGACACTGCTGAAGAGCACTATACTAGAACGAAGTGAGTGTCCAGTGTTTCCAGGTTTCTAATGGTGGTCTAACATTGATCAGTTCATGATCTCAAAAAAAAACCGATCTCCAAAACCCTATTCTGACAGGTTACTAACAGCTCAACGAATGCAAAAAAGAATTAAATTACTTATTACAAATATTACGAAGTTTCAATTACAATAATAAGTAAGTTCATTGCTAAAAATTCATAAAAACAGCTATCAATACCACTGAACAACTGGAGGATGTAACTCTCGATACGCTCAAAATGATCGAAAATGAAGTTAGTTACTAAATGTTAATAAGTAGCATAATGTAACGTACAAAAGGTAATCTAATTTAGAAGAAATGGAAATAAAACGATCAAACAAAACTAATACACGGTTTTGAGGAAGATTATATTAAAAGTTTACGAGGGTTTAATGCTTAAAAGGTTACCTTGTGCCTAATGAAATCACTCAAAATAAAACAGTTCTGAGGTTTAGGTTTAAGGTGTTCAGTACAGAAAAAAATCAATTTAAGAAGTTATGAGTATTGAGAAACTGATATAAGTGCTTGTTTTTGGACGTTGTCATTGTTAAGTTTTAGAACTGTATTGATCATTTTATGTTAGGATGTAGACTGTTTGAACTAACACATAAATATTGCTGAGGTTCGGATGAAGGATTCCAGAAAATATATCATACTGAATGGATTTTATGAAATACACTGAAAATTTTTAATTTACGCTTGTGTAGATAAAAGTTTGTCATGGTATTTCTTTTATTGGCTTGACATCTTTCTGTAGTTATCGATAATGATCATAAGTACTATTGTTATATATGTATTTGATTTTTTGTATTGTTTTCTTTACATTCAGATAGTGTTTAATTCAAATCGTCATAAACTACAAAGTTTATGTATTCACGATATTTTCCGTCTGTATACAATCCTTTGTGGTTCATCCAATTTTAGTTTATCATATTTAATTTCAGCCAATCCACATATTCGATTTATTGAATGTTCATCTTACATGAACTCATCATCATCTTCTTCTACATCATCATATCATTCCCTTCCTTTTGTAAGATCATCAAAACTTTGTAATTGTCATGCATCTTATCATCAAACACATCATCACTGTAAAATTAGTTTATTAAGTCTTGTACAATTTGGTGAAGTAAATGGTTTAATAAGACGAATTCAGTGTTATCCTATAAGTGATAAATTAGAATTATCTGCTGAACAACAAATTAAATATCGGATGTCATCATCACTTATGTCATCAAAAGAAGCAATTCCTTCAATGATGACAACAACTACGACAACTCTTACCACAACCAGTAGTAGTACGAGTTCCAATACAAATATGCAACAACAATTAATGCAATTTCAAACTAAAAATTCTTCATCTGTATTACGACATAATTCACGTAAATTTACTAAAAAACCACAAATAATTAATGAACAAACATGGTCTATTTCAAAATCTCTATTAATGGATGGTCAGCATAGTTTAGATTCAATTATTACATTTTTATTAACAAACAATGGTAATACAACAAAATATTCTTCATCTGGATATAAAGTACCAGAATATATTAGTGATTTATTAAATTTATATCGTTTTGATGAAGAATGTCTTACTAGACAAATATCTTATTGTGATCGTGATTTATCTTCGTTTAATAGAACTAAAACTTCTAGTAGTTTCAGTTTTAGTCCTGATGAAACTAATTTTACCATTCATAATAATAATAATAATAATAGTCAAACTGTTGAAGAAGTTATTGTACATGATCGAATATGGTCTAAGTCAGAAAATAATATGACAACATTTGTAGAACCATTAAATTTAGATAAGATAAACTTTATATTACCGGATCTTTATTGGATGTGGCGTTGAAATGATTGATTTTTGTTAACTTATCACTTTTTCTTATTTTATTAATATATTCCTCTTTGATATTTATTCATTGATTTATTTCAACAATACAATGTTGTACAGTGTAAAGTTATAAAATGAACTAATATTATCTTTGGTTTCATTTACTATTATGTAGTTGTTATTAAGATTTTGTTACTTAATAAAACTCTTTCATTCAATTGTTATCTGTTGATTTTTGTACTAACCTCTGTTTTGATTTATTCAATGAAAATCTTGGCCGTAATTCCCTTAAAACCTTTGAATTTTACATTTCATTTATTCTTCTTTATCTTCAGATTATCTTGAATAAGTCTTTTGAGAAATAATTTTAATAAATGGAATACATCCATTATGACATTAAATAAGAAAGAAAGATTAGTTCAGCGAAGAATTCTCTTTTCGGCGAATTCATTTTCAAAGCTGTACAATCACCATGTATAACATAAGTTTATTATCAGTATTATTATCACCCTGTAAAAATAAGTATATATATATTTGCGATTGTACAGCTTTGAAAATGAATTCGCCGAAAAGAGAACTCTTCGTTGAACTAATCTTTCTTTCTTATTAAATAATTTTAAATATGAAATCTTATTAAATAACTTCATTGAATATGTATTCTAGTATTAATTATAAAGCCTATTGTAGAATTATAACAAAATATTGATTGAAAGGAAATGTCTCTTTGTTCAATCTATTCATATCGATATTTGTTTTAATTTATCATTCTTAAATGATTTTAACTTTTGATATTTTGTACAAATTATGAAAATATACATTTTTCTTATGTACAGATATACTCATGGATTCGTTTTTTTTTTGGGGGGGGGGTAGTTCCTTGTTAATTTTATTCTGAATGATATAGAATCAGTCATTTTTTCGTCGTAATAACTTCCACAAACCTTTGTAACTAATGTAGTCAGTTTTGTTATTTCTGGTTCATTTTTAACTAAACAAGAATTTATGTCAGCTGTACACTTATGTAAGAAACCATACAACTTATCATTACGCTAATTAGAAATTCCGTAGTAGTAGCTCATATATTTTGTATCTTTGTCTATCAATTTTTAAAGACTGGAACATGATACCATTAGAATCCTTAAGTAAAACTTATAAAAGGGGACAATATATTACTCATGTTAATGTTTAGTGATCGCTTACTACTCGGAATCAACTTAAGTTGAAAATAAAGACTATTAGATAACAGATTAGTGGTCTAGAGACAACTTAGTCACAGCGCAACCTTAAGTTCCCTTGCCAAAAAAAACAGTCCAATTTTCTGCAGTTTTCAACAAGTGTCTAACTAAAGTTTGTTGGTAATGTGAACCATCTTCAGCTATTTTATCTTCGTTTATTTTAAATAAACCAAATGTATAAAAACGTTTCGTGAGAGATGTTTTGCGGTGGAAAAGTTCGAACTTAAGTGTTAATTATTTAACACTAATCATTTATTGAACGTTAACTAATATTGTGCTACATGGTACTTTTCGGTATTTATGTATCAACTTGCCGATTCAGTCACCAGACTAAATAAACAGACAATGTGATCCATATAGTTGAATGCTATGATATCTGACTGAAGCACTGGGTGACTCGGTCTCGAATCACAAAAAGTATTGGTTTTCTTAAGATTGTAGACGTGCCTTGCTGGAATATGGAAGCTAGCAAGGAATATTAGTTCAAGGTTACCAAGCAATTAAAAGTCGGAAGATTTCCGGAAAACTAGACACTTAGTTCAATAACTACTGAAAAACCAAAGATTGGTATTTAGCTTTATATTTACATCTTGCTCACCAACAAAACCATTCTTCAAACATCAAGCTTTCATATAATCGCTTGAATAGTTTTGCTTAAAATCTGGATACAACAGATTTATGTATTGAACTGCCAATTAGTTCTGTTGGATATTGTTTTATGACATACCACCCATCTAAATAAGTTAATAGAAACGAAGCTTAGTTTAAATCCTTGTGTGAATACTTCGGGATCATTTAGAGGTGATCACTGAATCTAAGATTCATCTACAAATGAATTAAGTAACAGTCTAAATTATAATTAGTTTATTAATTGTAAACTAAGTTTTAAAAGATTGTTACATGATAACTAGATGTAGTAAAATATCCAACTTACGGTTTATTACTTTTTTTTTAGAAATTAAATCTTTTTAAGTTGATTCAGAGTAAACAGCCTAAGTTGTGCTCATTTCTTCGACATTGATCAAATCGAATACACAAATGTAATCTTTTATCGAAGACATGAACACAGCTGAAGTTGAGTTTAACTCTTTAATTAGAATTCATTAATTGAAAAGACAATGATAAATTCGATTTAAGTAAAGTTGTATTAAGTTACAAATGAAAGCTGAATTATCTCATCGAATTTATATATACACATATCACAATAATGATTGGTTAGTAAAGTTAATTATTAGTTACATTGAACTCAGGCATTTGACCCCAAATTGTAGTGAAACAGAAAAAAAAATAACGAACTCAGTAACAAAGTCTATGACATAATATTAATTACTACGTTTTCGCATATATCTTCAGCTTTATGCGTATATATGTCTGTTTGTCATCATAATTGACAATATAGACAAAGATGTCTATTATTCTCTTAACTATTACAGTGCATGATTCTTTATGACATTTTGATTATTTGAATTATACTGTTAATTGTATTGATAATAATCTAATCAAAATGACACATGGTGCATGATCGATTGAATTCAGTGCAGTAATTACTTTTTTAAAGCAAGTCACAAGCGAAATTTTACAGGGCACAAACGTGTATATATGTGTGTAAAGAGAGTTCATCGTCATATTATATAGATATATATAGTGAGTTATTAATTGTAAAGAGCTATGGTCCAAAAGCAGATTATGTAGCCAGACTCATTTTATTTGGAAAAAAAGTGTAAATAATGAGATTTTACATGTGTATATATATATAGTGACACAACATGGTGAATCATTTCGATTGTATAACTAGTCAATTCAGAAGTTGTAATATTGTTATTGATGGTGATGAACATCATAAAATTAATGTTGTTGTAAACATGTTTTATTTTAATGAAAAAAATATAATGATGATTTCGTGCTGTCTATTTGCAACCTGATTGCTTTGAATCATTATTTTAATTTATAAGTTCAAGTGACAAAAAGTTTGAATAATATTAATGATAATGGCAATTATTATTATTTCCCTTTTTTTAGAAAGAATTCAAAACCTTCAGGTTAGAATATCTAGGTTGAGCTGTTTCCAACATTGATTAATTTATAATAATACTCACTGATTATTTATTGCCGATCGATGATATTCGCTCTATATGTTTGAACTTCATTAAAACTTAGAGAATCCCTCTGAAAGTTAATAACGATAATGTATTCTAGTCTGTAATACTTAAAATGGAAATTCTTTCACAACAAATTAGACGCTAGTTTTAAATATTTAATTACAGAGAATCGATATAAAGTTTAAGTTTGGGCTTGTGGCAATAACATCATAACCTTATAATTTTGCAAGTATCTCAAATATATATTATCTAATAAATCCTAGTCAATACATCTGTTCAAGTAACTACAATTCATACCATATATATCTTTACTAAAGTCTCTATTCTCTGTTTGACTTTGATTAGATGTAATTATTTAGTACAAGACCTATTTTTTATGTATAAACGGAACCATTATTTAAAAAATTTCTAAGTGTAGAATAGTTGTATTGTTTAATCTTAATTGAACAGTCAATATTTACATAATTGATGCTATGTTCTATCAATAAGTTTTAAGCACCACAGAAAACTGGTTAACATTTTAAATACCAGACTTTACAGGATCTGGCAATTTTTTTAACCCATAAACAACTTATGCTATGGTAAGACTGATACTACAGAGACATTCCTGTCACAATCATTTTAAATTACACTGTAGATTCAGGAAACTGGTAAGCTATATATTAACTTGATATTTTGATCAAAAACTATCAGAAATAAGGCATTCACTATAACTTTAAAATCGTGCCATTAGGAATTGATACTAATTATAATAAACTATGAAATTATCAGAAACATAATTAACCTTTAGGTTTATATATATATATACTTACGCCTGTTACTCCTCGTGAAGGATCATAGGCCGCTCACCAGCATTCTCCATCCAACCCTGTCCTGTGCAATCCTTTCCAGCTCTTTCCAGTTATTCATCCTTTTTATATCTATTTCCCGACGTAATGTGTTATTTGGCCTTCCACTTTTCCGCTTCCCTTCAGGATTTCAGGTGATATATATATACATATCGGTCATGCACAGATCAAATCGCAGCATTACGGATCATCGTTGAACAATCAGTTGAATGGAACTCGTCACTATATATCAACTTTCTTGACTACGAGGCGTTAGACGGTGTGAATAGGAGAACCTAATTGAACATACTTCGACACTATGGTGTGCATGAAAAAATCATCAGCATCTTAAGGAATTTATAGGACGGACTACAGTGCAAAGTTGTGGATGAAGGATAGTTGACAGATGCACTCCAAGTGGGGACCATAGTCAGAAATAGCTACTTACTCTGTCCCTTTCTCTTTCTTCTGGAAGTTGACTGAATTAGGAAGACCTTGACATCTTAGGGGCAACACAGGATGTAATGAGCTGGCTGGATGCAGCTAGGCGATTTGGACTTCACAGATGATCTGGACCTTCTATCCCATACATACAAACAATTCCAGGTCAAGACAATCAGTGTAGCATCAGCCTCCATATCAGTAGGCCTCGACATTCACAAGGGAAAAAGCGAGATCCTCAAATACAACACGAAGAACACAAACCCAATTACACTTGATGGAGAAATTCTGGATGAGATGGAAACTTTCACGCACCCATCTGGGCAGCATCATCGATGAACAAGGAGAATCCGATGCAAACGTAAAAGTAAGGATCGAGAAAGCAAGGACATTATTCCTACAGTTTAAGAACATATGCAACTCAAAACAATTGTCAACCAATATCAAAGTGAGAATCTTCAATACGAACGTCGAGACAGTTCTATTGTAGGGAGCTGAAACTTTGAGAACTACTGCAACGATCATCAAAAGGGTCCATGTATTTATGAACAATTGTCTACGCAAGATACTGAATATCCGTTGGTCGGACTGAGGAGGAAATTATGTGGAGACCCTGGACATGCATAGAGCACACATTGCGGAAATCATCAGACTGCTCACGAGGCAGGCGCCAACTTGGAATCCTGAAGGGAAAGGGAAAAGAGGAAAGCCGGAGAACACACTGCGTCGAGAATCGGAAGCAGACATGAAATAGATAAAAAGCAACTGGAAATGATTGCTCAGGTTAGAGTTGGAGAGAGGATGTTGGTGGTCGGCCAATGCTCTTCCACGAGATTTAACAGACGTAAGTAAGTATATACATTTTAAAATACCAATGAATAACTAACAAACAAATAGATTACTATGTTAAATATTTGTTCCCCAACACTGTTTCTTTCAGTTTCAGTTCTAGTTTCTAAAACACTTGCACATTTTTATTCTGACTGATTTCAATGTTAGTCTTTTAGTATGATGGGGATCTTTAAATGATTTAAATTACTTGTTTACTTGATCCCTGTTAGATAGTGTTTAGCAGGCAATGCAATAGAAAAATGATATTTATTTTCTAAGAATACTTTCTATGGTTGATCATCTGAACTAAATTTATTTTCTATGTTTTCAGTATATTGATATAAAACTGATGTAAATCATGTATCATATTAATGAGTTATGAATTAGAATACTCTGA